GTTGTTCGGAATCCACACAAGCAAGAAGAAGAGGTAGTGTATTATTTCTAAAATAATTAAAGTTAAAACAAATTTATTTGTTTCATATGTAACCCTTTTTCTTCGTGTAGAATATTTCTGGCACATCTACGAGTCTTACCATGCCAGAGTTCAATCAAGAAGATCACGTTGTTCGTCCACCTACCACTAACCAGCTGTTTGATAAATGGAGTTCACCTATTGCGATGGACTTGCCCGACAATGATCGATTTGAGCTAGATGTTGTTGAGGATCAAGAACAAAATCTTATCCCTGAACCAAAGATTGTAGAAGTAAGTTTTTAACAATCCTGATTAAATATGCAGTCAAATATTATTCATTGAAATATTAACGATACATTAACTAATTACTCATATTTTTCAACTTGAAAACATAGGATGTTGATACATGTAAGGAAAAAGAAGGTAGGAAAGATGTATCAGATCTTCCACACATAACATAAGTTCATGATGAAACAAATGTACATCAGCAAGATAATGTAAGTTCAATTTTGTATATGTATGATACATTAGTTTGTCAATGTATCATTTTAGCATATATCATCCTTTTTTAGGAAGATGTACCAGTTAGATGCTCCAAAACATTTCATCATGTAATGTTGGATGAACATGATGCTGATAAAGTGAAGGATAATGTCATAAAATCTGATAAATCGGTAAATCTTACAATTAGTTACCACGTAAATTAATAATACCATTTTACAATTTTGTATTCATTTATCTAATCTATATTATAATTGTATCAATTAATATAGGGTTCGATAAATTCGGATTCAGTATCAGCTGGTACTCAAGAAGCAGTAGATACACTTTATGGCATTCATTCTCCTATGGGTGCTCAACCACTGCAAGTTGTCACTCCCCAAAAACTTACTGACACACATGATTTGAGATCGGGCAACATGTTACCCATGGATACAAACGTAAATGAAATAGTGGTGCATGAAGTGTCAAAGACGCTTATTCAAAGATTGAGACTGCCATCAAAGATCTTTCAATCACCATACGTGACTATATTTGGGTCTAGCGACAAAGGCAAAGAGAAAGTTGATTCAGAGTTACACATTCGTCCAAATCACCTATTTCAAGATTGTGGTATTATTTTCCGACCTCCATCTGCTTTACTTGATCAGTAACATCAGTGGTTATCAAAGGGCCTTCTTAAAACACATGACAAAAAGTAAGTTATATATCAATATATCCAAATACTGTTAGATCATTATTTGTTTGAATCTGCATTGAGTTTTAATAATTATATAGGAAATCAAAGGAGGACAAATACAAATGCAATTCAGCTTCTTTTGGATTTGAGCACATGGACTTCGTTGTTGCATTTCCAATTAATAAAAATTGGTTCTATGCCATGTCGCAGACAAAGAAATGTTGGACTGATGAGGTATAATAGTAAATTCAAGAATAAAGATGTATCAAGATGTATCTGATACATCTTTAAAAATGTATCTGATACATCTTTAAATATGTATCTGATATAAAAATATGTTTACACCTAGACATAGCATATATGATACATCACAACATACATTTTATTTATTTTCACTAAATAATTTATTTTGCAGCACATTGATGTAGTCTTTTACTACCTTAGGAAGAAATCAAAATTGCGAAGCCTGGATCAATACAGATACACCACAATTAACTGTTTATTCAAAACATACATCAATAACACACATGAGAGGTATCATTGCAGTTTTGCCGATGACAACCTTAGTACACAGGAACACATGGCGCGTGGGTCTGTTGTATCTGGATTCGAGCGGTCATTGATGAACATTATTAATGATTTTGAGATTCCTGTTGGTTTACCGTGGCACTCATGTGATGATGTTTACATTTCGGTGAATTGTGATGGACAATTTCATTGGGTATTGGCTGTTGTTGTTTTGAAAAAGAGGTTAATACGTGTCTACGACCCAGCATCTGGATCAAGGAGAAAATTTTATTCGGGAGACATTAAAAAATTATCTCTAATGTTACCTACTTACCTCCAGGACAGTGGATTTTTTTAGCATTCCGAGCGAACTGATTGGTCATCTCTTGATGCTTATAAGGACAAGAAAACTGGAAGTCTATTGGAACCAAAACACCTTTTTCTTGTTGAATATGTACAAGACATTATTCAACAAGGAAGCGACACACTGTAAGTTTTAAAACATCTTGTTTTAAAATTTATGTTCAATTTATTTTTGTATAATGTATCTTTTGCATTTTTGTAGGGATTGTGGTTTGTTTTTGGCCGCCTTTGCTGAATTCCTAAGCGATGAAATTCCAATCCAATCCAATAATTTCTGTTCTGATTATCTCCGGTCAAGATACGCAGCATTGCTATGGAATTACAGCAGTGAAAAGGCTGAAGCTGGATACGTTAGTGATAATGAAGATCCATCAAAGCCTAGGGATCATTTCACACCACCAAACCATGATGCGTTGGTTAACCTGGAGTAGTTTTTGTGCATCAATGGATACACAATGTTTTGTTTGTTTTTACTGCTTTCAAGATATATTAACTCAAGTGTTGAAGGGTTTCTCTTAAAACTTGTTTTGTCTGACTTTTTAATATCAATATATTTTGTTCATTTAATTTCGAAATGTATCTTTGTCTAAATTTACAAATTTTAATAATCAAACATTATTATTAAATCATCATCAATATAAAATGCATTTGAGCAAACTTTTTTTCCTAACAACATCAATTCAATTTACTGTATCAAAAACATTTAAAAGAACAACACACTAAACAATATATTACGTTTATAATCTAAAACTTATTGAATTGAAAATTATAAATCTTAAACATCAATGTATTCTAAAAAAAACTATTAAAAAGTTGTAATCAATAGATAAGTTAGCTAAGATTTACAATTTCTAACACAATATTTTGATAATGTATATACAATAATAGTTATAATCAATATGATACATGATTTAATAATATATTTGATACATGCTTTCTTATTTATTGTGACAAATACATTGGTGAGAATTTATGTATCATATGATTTCTCTGATACAATAGCTTATTTAAGCTAGATAGGTTATTTATGATTTAATGAATATGATACATTAGATATTATGTAAATGATACAGTACACATAGTATATTTTACACATAATGTATATGATACAAATGCACCTAAATATTTATATATCGGAGATAACATTTACACACAAATCATAACAAGTTATTGAATTGAACAACAAAAGTAATAAACAAACGTACCAAAATAACATCCAACACACAAATCATAACAAATTCTTAAATGGATCCGCAAAACTCATAAATATTGAATCAAAATAACCAAAAATAAACAGTAACCTTTATTCATGATAAATATAAAAGTGATAATCCATTAAGTCAAAAATTATTCAACAAAAACATAAATGTCTTATAAAAATAACGATTTCACTTTTCTTTTGGGAAGAAAGTACAAGTTCTTTTGTTGTGACCTTCTTGACCACATCGTCCACAACAGTTTATCCTTACTATTATCGTTTCATCTGCATTTTTTTTCTTCTTTTCCTTGGTCGTCCAGCCAATCTTTTATATCTAGGTGGCCACACAGTTTCATCTACAACATTGCTAGGAGCCGACCAATCTTCCTTATCTGGCATTGGAACCATTGGAACCTCATATGTTTTTGCTAATGTATCAGGCTTGTAGTAATCAGAGCAATAAGGATGCATATCTGTGACATTCTTGTCCTTTAAAACAGCAATTGCATGTGCGCAAGGTATCTCATCTAGTTGAAATCTGCCACAAGTACATTCTTTCCTCTCAAGACAAACAATGTATCTTCTTCCAACTTCATAAACCGAGAAAATAAATTAAGATGATGGAACAACCTGCAGACATTAAAAAGTAATTGATAAATTTATTTCAAGTAATGCTGATCAAAATAGCCGAATGATATACCAAATTAGATATAAAATATAAAATTATATATCTTGATACATACCTTAATCTTTGAGCATTTAGATGCGTTTAGAATTAATATCTCCTCAAATTTTCTCCCCAATGTATCTTTTGTATAAGAGGCTATTTCTCTATTTTTGCAATGCCAAGAACCAAATAGAATTCTAACCTCTTCTAAGAATTCTAATATAGACAACTAACGTGCCTCAACAAGACAACCATTGATACATTCCGCTATGTTCGAAGTCATCATTCTACCTCTATTTACTGTTGAATGAACTCTCGACCACTTCTCATACCCAGCATCCTCAAGGTACTCCTTAACCTTGTGGTCAACTTTATCCACCTTAGCCATTAATGTATCGAAATTCTCCTTTCTATATGCCTTGGCCATAGAGTAGAATAGATCACTTATAGTGTTTCTGCTCCTTTTGAAGTTTCCACAGACATTCTTCCAAAGATGTCATATGCATGCATAGTGAGGTACAGTTAAGAACACAATTCTTACACTCTTCATAATACTCTCATTTCTATCAGAAACAACACACATTTTTTCACGCTCGCCAAATGCATTTTTGAATTGTTCGATGAACCATGTCCACGAACAGTCATTTTCAGTGTCTACAACCCCATATGCCAATGGCAATATGCAACCTAATTAAAGATCAACATGCATGATTTCATTTGATACATAACATTTACAATATAGATACATATTAAACAAGATCACAATTACAAAAAATACATACCTGCCCCATCAAGTGTGTTTGCTGATAAAAATGTACCTTTGTAAGCTCCACCAAGATGTGCACCATCGAAAACAACTACCGATCTGCAGTAATCAAACCCCCTCATCAATGGTCTTAAGGCTATGAACATATACATGAATTCATCTTCCACTGACTTGTACATCCTTATATAAGAATTTGGATACATATTATTCAACATGTATAGGTATCTCGACAACTTCTTATATCCATCTGATGGTTTACCCCTTAACATTTCTAGTGCACGTTCTTTAACACACCATGCTTACTGGTAAGATATTTGAACCCCATAGAATTCTCTAATATCATCAATTATATCTTTTGGAGTATGAATTCGTTTATGATTGACCAATTTAGGAACAGTCACACCACTAACAAACCCAACTGTTGCTTGGACTTTGGTTAGTATCATATCCCGCACTGGACATGTATGTTTACTATCAAAGTATCTTACTTTGAAACCATCAGTGTTTTTCCTGCATGAAGCCTTCATAGTCCAACCACATTCAATCGAAAAGCACACCAACACAGAGCTGTACAATGTTTTTCATCATATTAATACATATAGCAGTTACATTTTATATGATATTAATGTATCAACAATATTAACTACCATAACGCATAATATCACCATACATTTAAATTTCTAATTTGTTTCATACATTACGCATAAATCAAAGTTACAAAATGTATCGGATACATTATAGACGCAACTCAATTGTGTGGGCTTCTTCCATGTATCATCTAATCAACAAAAAAATTACAACAAATCAAAAGCACCATCACAGAACTTCTAAGAATAATATTGTATCAAACACATTAGAAATTTAAATGTATCATCCGATGTAGATCTTAAAATTAAAAACATTAATTCAAAATTCAGATAAAAAAAACTCATACCTTTGTCTATCAGATCTTTTTACTTTGCAATTGAAGTTGTTCTTTATTTTATATTTGGCCATCACATCTATTAGTGTTGCTTTATCGTTATACAATTGACATGTCTTCACATCTATACTGTTTGAATCAATTATGTAATTTGTAACTTCTAATTCTGGAATATAATATGAATCACAAATTCTTGATTCAACCACTGCAAGAGCTTCTGTATCCCTTGTTGTATCTTCGATACATGTAATCTCTCTGCATGTTCCATCAAAGCTATGTATCTCACCACCAATTTTATCTGTTGTATCAATACATAATGGATACATTGCAAAATCAGGCTCACTTTTTTTCACTTCTAAATATAGTCTAACACCCATGTCGTTCTTAATTTTCATCGGACATGAATTACCTTCTACGATGTATCGAATTTCAATAGTTTTTCTTACCTCATTGATCTCTAACTCGGCTGTAATGGCTGCCTTGAGATTCATAAATGAAATTGATTGTCCAACAACAATTCCATCACTTTTGTATCCTTCATAATTAACTTTGCTAGCCCAAATTCCTGAATGCCTCAACAAAATAGATATATTCATCTTGTATCAAGTTTCTTTTTGAAATTATGAATTTTTTAACATCAATGGCTTTTCAATAATCGTCTTCAATGGAGAAGATGTATTTTTGAATTTTGAAATTGATGATTCTGATTCCTATTAGGATATGGAATGATTATGATTAGGATCAGTTAGGCGTAAATCTAGGATATTAATATAACTAAAATAATTTGTACGTTTTTTTTTCCTTTTTTAGTGCAACAACAATTTGTTTCTGATGTATCGTTTATAATGTATCTTGGTGGAACCAATGTATCCGGCTACATCCATTTACAAGGGATTTTTGTAATATAGATATTATTAGGGATATGATGTAATTTACATATTAGACTATGGGATTCCTTTAATTTTTACATATAATTTTGTGGTTTTATACTAGTCATATCATATACAGTAAAGAGAGACTAAACGACCACAATATTAAATATATTTTAAGAATTTTGTGGGTCTAATATAATACAAGAATGTCATTAAATTTCATATTTTATACTTTCAAATTTGAATTAGATAGTAAGTCTAATTTTGTCTTTATCACAACTAAAAGAACCCCCACATTTTAAATATGTTCTCAAAAATATTTTTCAAGTATTTGAAATTATTTTCCACATATTTTTCTTCCATGCTTTCAAATTGTATACCATCAAAATACACATTGGCAACACGAAGCCTTCTTTTGGAGATTTAATCCATAGAAACACCCATTGTAGGCACAAAAATCACTAATTTTATGTCACTGAATTTTTTTTTCCTTTATGTCACAATGAGACATACCACTTAGTATTTAGAATACTAACAATAAAGATTCAATCTTTATACAACTTGTTTCTAGTTTAACGACGAAGTTTTTATATTCTTCTAATTGTTAACTGAATGAACCTTGAATTTTGATGAAGTTTTTATATTCTTAAATCAGTTTCAAATTCAAACAGAGTAGTAAACCAAAAAGATTTAATCTCCAGAAATCTCACATACAATATTGTTTCTACCTAACGATGAAGATTTTTATCCTTCTCAAATCATTTAGCCTTAATATTCTTGATGAAGATTTTGTACTCTTCAAGTCGGAATATTCATTCAAACAGAGTATTTAACAAATTGCTGAAGTTTCTATATTCTTCAAACCAATGCATAATCTAATTTGTTCGTGAAGTTCTTATATTCTTCAAACCAAATGAGTAAAAAATCAAAAGATTTTAGTCTCCAAAAGTCAGACACAATCAAATTTCACATGAAGTAGAAAACTACAAAAAAATTCCCCCCCTCTAAACAAAATACATATTAAAAATAATAAAGATATATTCTGAGATCATCACATAATGACCATCTATCCTAACATTTATGAAATAAATCTCATAACTTATAAAGGATAGAAAAAAAAATAATCAAGGTAAATAAAGATAGAACCTGATTTTTACTCTCATTGAATCATATTCTATCTGTCAACAATGATTCCATGCAAGTCACTTTTCTTGCTAATTTTTACTTTTTTTCCCAATTTCCATCATATTCCAATTTTCCTCAGGAAGACATTGAATTTCACCGAGAAACACTCATGTTCAAATATTGTTAGGAGACAACATCTGTTCATTTACTTCTTCTCGTATTTATATAAAACCAAGAATATAAGAAAAATAATTAAAGTGCACATCTTAGCCTTTACGCACAAAATAATTTTTCTCATTGAAAGGAAAACAGAAGGGGTGCAATGATTAAAAGCACTTGGGAAGAAAATAAAATTAATCTTACGTCCATCCAAGGAAAACTTACTACGGAAAATATACCAGAACATATTAAAGTAGTACTAATTCACCCCAAATCTCTTTTATCATATCATAAAATAATTCTCTTTTTCTTCTTTATTTTTTTTCCCAACAAAAAGAACACAGAAAATAAAAGTGATTTCCTTACCACAGAAAATACCAACAATTTTAAATTTCTTAAGCTTGTTATCTCTTGTATTCAGATTAGCAAACTAGACATAATAAAAGATGAAAAGAAAAAAACAAGGAATTATCCGAGTCTACAGAACCCACTGTTTGTCCTTAAAAAATTTAATCCCCTCAAGTACCTGAGGTTGCAGATTAATTCCACCCAAGATAAAACGGATTAACCATTAAAGAAATAGCGGTACCTCAAACTTTGATAATTTCAACGAACTCAAAATGACAACAACAAATCACACATACAGACACGATTGATCGATTTTGTTTTGTAAGAAATGTATGCAAAGAAGGGAAGAATTCAGTGCAAAAAAATGAGAGAAAGCCTTTCTATTTATAGTCAACCAAGGGTAAAGGTCACAACTCTTTGGAAAAAAGACAACCTTTCAAAAAGGTCACAACACTTTGGAAAAATCACAACCTTACAAATGGTCACAACCCTTTAGAAAAGACACAACCTTTTATAAAGGTCACAACCCTTTATTTTTTGTTCACACCCTTAAAACCCAACAATACATCCACCTCTGAACATGTAATCGAAATGAGCATATAAGTTTAATGCAAAATGAGAATTCATATAATTAATTTCAATCAATTATTTAGGACTCACGTAGTTATTGTTGTCACTTCTTTGATAGGATATTAGATTAGTCAGCAATTCAAATTCCAGTTGGTTTGAGTTTGACGTACTTTTATCTTCGACGAGTGGCCTAACATTCAACGCGGATCGAAGCTAATATTCAAAACTTTCTCCTACCTTTCTATTGAAAATCGGGCAGTGAAAAGAGGATAATAGACTAGACGAGGGCATCACCACCCAAATAAGCCAAAAGGAACTAAAGGCATACTTTATTGCTAATTTGGTAGTAGAGCTACGGCTATAAGGAATGGGCAATAGCCACTATGACTAAAAGTGTCGCTAGAGTCCCTAAGGGTTGGTGTGGCAGGCTTGTAGTTACAGAAATAGAGTCAAAATTTAAAGTTAATGAATTCTGAATTTTAATCTTTTTATATTCTAAATTAATAATAATAATATATAAATATATATATATTCCATGGATTTTTAAAACAAATACATAATTGAAACAAATATGCAAGGACAAGTCCTCCTTAGCTTCTAGTTGTTATAATTTGCACTAGGGTCTAGGGTCATATGTAAATGGAGTGACATATTTTGCCTTTTGTGAGTTTCATAGGCCGAATATGCATAGTGATGAAAATAATTGTTCATCCCAATTAGAATTTGATGAGGCAAGGTTACATATTCACTTCCTTTTCGAATATTTAAAAAAATATACAAAATATGGAAGGGTCAATATACCAAACCCCCTACTGAAAAAAATATATATACCAAACCCCCTTACACAACCTAGTGGTGAATTTTACTTTAACTATATTATAAATTATAAAAATAAATATAAAAAGCTTAAGATTGTCATCTTGTTATAATGTTGGAGCACATTCTTTAAAGAAAGGCAATAATGAAGTGGATCATGAAATTCCTTGAGAAAGGCAAACAATTAACAAGCATGACCAAGCATACTATATATATTTGAAAGAAAGATTTTTATCCAAAAAAAAAAAAAAAAGATAAAAATATTTTGAGATTTTTATCCCAAAAAAGGTGCATGAAATCTTGATAGCGGATAATTTGCTGTAAAAATATTGTGCGTTTTTTTTCTTATCAAAAGTGTTTATATTTTAATTTTCCTTTTAGAAAAGTATTTTGGAGGAAAAATTACTTTTATAGCTTTAGAAAAATGGTTTATGTTACTTTTTAAACTAATTATTTTTTCTTAAAAACTTGGTCAAACACCTCAGTTTAAAATAACTAAGTAAGTATTTATTGAAAAATAAACACGTTCAACCTCCCAAAAATTTGATCAGCAATATATAAAACAAAATATATACTCCCTCTGTCCCCTTTTTACTTGTCCAAATTTGACTTTTTACTTGTCCCTTTTTACTCGTTATTTTTGACAAATCAAGAAAAAATAATATTTTTTTACCTATTATACCCTTAATTTATTTAGCGAGTTAATGTTTTTGAAAAAGGTAGAATCTCTTTAATGAGTAAATTGATTTTGAAATTTTATCAATTAGAAGAATAAAACAATAAATTCACTATGTCAATTATTATTTTCTTAAAAAATATGTCAGATAAAAAATAAACAAGTATAATAGGGAAGAGACGGGAGTATATGAGAACGTCCTTTGATCTTATTAATTGTTTGCAAACACCAATCGATGTGTCGGATTAAAATAAAAACACTACAAATTTCAAAGTAGTAATGGCGATGGAGGCTTAATTTTTAAAATGCAAATCAGCAAATATGTGTCTTCTTTTTAAAAAAAAAGACTTAAAAAGGAAAAAAAGATATACTTTTTTACTCGTCACAGTTTCCTTTTTCAGAGTCAAAATAACATGAGCTTTGACTAATATTTTAAAATATAATTTTTTATTATATTGATATGATTTTTTTTCCAATTTATAGTACTTTTTAAATAGTTTTTGAATATCCAAAAATTTATTTCAAAATATTAAATTAATGTAATCTAATTTAACTTTGAAAATTAGTCAAATTGACTCTCGAAAAATACAATAGGAGAGCTAAAAAAATGGAGGGAGTATCACATAAAATAATGAACTTTTTTATTTTGACCATAAATTTGGTAATTAGATCTTTAATTTTTTAAAACTAAAGTTTACATATTCGAAAATTAGGTAAGAAGTAGTACTATACAACAACAATATACATAATATATAATTTCACAAATAAGATCTGAAGAAATTGATGTGTATGCAATTTTACCTTGTAAGAAATACAATAATTAACAATTCAAAATATTCATAAAATATATATAAAAAAATGATCAAGTAAAAATTCGTTTAACATCAGATATTTGAAAGATACCATATAAATTAATTGGGACGAAAAGAATATATGTAATTGGGACTAAACTTTTTTCCCTCAATTATAGATGCCTGCCTAAGCTATATTCCCTTGACTGGTTTTATCTCCTATTACTTCCCTATTAAGG